ATAAATAATTTTCCCTGCCAAGGCCCATCGTATTTGTCCACACCCTCGCAGGAAATAGATGGCAAACCCAATTTATAAATAGTTTTCCCTGCCAAGGCCCATCGTATTTGTCCACACCCTCCAGCTCTTTGGCAGAGGGAATGGTTTATAAAATAGTTTTCCCCTACCAAGGACCATTAAATCCATTGGCAAACATATCAAAAAATCCAGATACTTCCGAAATCCGACACAACCCTTTGTGTTTTATAAAATGAGTATCCATCTGCAGCATGATTTTATTCTCTCACATCCTTACTTGTTTATAAAATGAATAACCATGTCCCAGCTGTTTCTATGTTTAAAAAAATCCCTGTTTATAAAATGTTCACAGGATCCGAACCGACCTGTTTATGACATGAGGGCCAGGATTTTAGAGGCTGTTTTTTTGAAATTCCGATTTCCGGCAACATTGTGATCGTTATGAAATGACCCCCAAAAAAGTCATTTTATAGGTTACCAACATCCCCATTTCATAAGGACTTGTGCAAGGGGGATTGGCAAACTATATAATTGCGCAAAATGTTGCAAACACACACACACTCTGACACTGGTTTTCAGTTAACGCAATTGTCACGTTGGGAAGGAAGGTGAGAGAACGGAAAGGTGCATGGGTCCGATCACTTGAAAAGTTTAACATTGTTGTCACAAGGCGGCAGCAATCAAACCGGCGGCGCAGCTGCTGGGGACGAGTAGGTTTGGGGGTGGTAGCATGAAGAACCATGGAATCAAACAAAGCCAATTAGACAGCGTGGTCAAAAGTTCAGCAGGTACGCAGGGCTGATCAGGCCCTGCTTCCCACTCCCGCCCACAGCTTCGTTGCGTGTGGTAGGGCGGGAGTGCCACACGCCCCTGCCTGATTGGAGTGGTCGAAGGAAACCCTTTGTCCAGGGGTGGACACACACAAGTTGCCGGCTTCGGCGCTTTTTCAAGACACCCCCTACCGTTGAACCAGTGGACGAAAAGCTTTTTCCCAGGGGTGGACACACACACAGAGCCGTTTTCGGCGCGGTCAAAGTAGTAGTAAGGCCAGGGGCCTCCAGTAGCGTCCAAACTCCCAGGGGAACATTTGTACAAAAAGCGCCAAATTGTTGGCGCAACGAAGAACTAGTAGACACCTAAAAAGCCTTAGAAAGACAGAAAAAGCAACGAAACAAGAGCAGACTAAGAGGGCAAGAAAGAAAAGTAGGGTAGTTACGAGGCCCATTTAGTTAAACGAAAGTAGAAGGCGAGCGGGACATTCGTCTTAAACCGCCCGGGTAGCTAGCAATAGCTAGGAGAAACAGAAGGAAAGGCACCAACACACAAGTGTGTTGAGTGCGATTTCCTTCTGTTTCCCGAGTAGCGGGTGGGATAGCAACGGAGGCCTGGGGTAGGGAGGGGGGGGGGGGTGTGCATGATGAATTCATCCGGCCTGTGAATACTTAGCAGCGCAGGCATGTGAATACTTAGCCGTCAAGTATGCTCAGGCTAGCGAGTTTGAGTTCTTCAGTCTCCGAAATCTGATGTATTCGACAAGAACCGTTTTTTGGCCCGGCGGCCAGTGTGTCAGTTGATTCGGTGAGGGTGTCGGTGACTTCCTGTGAAAGTCCGGTGAGTGGTGGTGCTTTGTGGTTGTTGCTTTCCCATGTAAGAGCGGCGCCCCAGTGACGGGGATCACACTCAGCACCCGAGTGGGACGGCTGAGCGAAACACACTCTGACACTGGTTTTCAGTTAACGCAATTGTCACGTTGGGAAGGAAGGTGAGAGAACGGAAAGGTGCATGGGTCCGATCACTTGAAAAGTTTAACATTGTTGTCACAAGGCGGCAGCAATCAAACCGGCGGCGCAGCTGCTGGGGACGAGTAGGTTTGGGGGGTGGTAGCATGAAGAACCATGGAATCAAACAAAGCCAATTAGACAGCGTGGTCAAAAGTTCAGCAGGTACGCAGGGCTGATCAGGCCCTGCTTCCCACTCCCGCCCACAGCTTCGTTGCGTGTGGTAGGGCGGGAGTGCCACACGCCCCTGCCTGATTGGAGTGGTCGAAGGAAACCCTTTGTCCAGGGGTGGACACACACACACACACACACACACCTATGGAATCCTATGGAATCCTCATGGAATCTATTTGCTTCATGCCATTTGCTCATGATGGTGTGAAGTTTGTTGAACTCGACGGCCGGGGCTCATTGGCCCGGCCCCTTTCACGGCCGGGGGCCGATACGGCTGCGGCGCGCCCGGCTGGCGAGACCGGTGAGGCTCCGTTTTCAGGCAGGAATACTGATGCACATGATGCCACCCAGCATCAGGTGCATCATGTGCATAGTGGTGGCGGTGCGTTCCGCCCCGGCTATGGTATGGTTGATCGACAGTTGCACAAGCTGCTGGCTCACAGCTGTCTGTCTTCTTGTCACTGTGCAGCATGAGCCGTTGCAAGGACACAGCCCTCAACAAATTGGTCTGGTTGGAAAAAAGTATTCAACCTTATGCAAGAACATTCGACGATCCAGGCATCAAAAATGCTTTTGGGAAAAGAAAGGGTTTCATCCGTATTGGCAGGTGAGGCGACATACTTGGAATGATTGACTGGTTCATGGACTGTATATCTGAACAAACTGCGACGATATCACTTTGAACATCCCTGAACACTGACTGTTGCTAGGGGCTCAATGCTTCCCGAACAAATGATCAACAAGATTCTCTTTAAAATCGGGGGTGAACTCCTAGTGTGAAACCAAGAAAGGCAGAAGTCAAGGTGACCAGGCGACCTGCGAAACATACACACGTGCAGTGCTGAACCAAAACATCCTGGCACAATAGATCGGAATCAGGACCATATCCTATACCAATTGTTTCCCCATGTTTCCCCCGATCCGGAACGCTCCCTCCTGAGCAACAGCTACTGTCGAGTGATTTTGTTCCTGGCTCGCCTTCTCAGCCAGCTGCCTGCACATCTGAGCCGCATCCTCATCCAGCCAACGGTAGGAGCAGGAGACCCACAACTTTCCTGGGCGCATGATGCATGGCGCACTTGTTGCCCTGCCCTGGCGCACTTGACACACTTTGTCTTGTATTGAACTTAAACATCACCAGCCCACTCAACTTAGCCCACTCAAACCCGAAATTGCCGCTAAGAACTCTCACCAAGATCAATCTCACTTAATATATATTTATAAACAAAACAACACTGCTTCGAATATCGTCAAACAACATCCCACACATTCCCACACCCAATCAAGACATCCTGTCACACTCACTGGTAGTCACGAGGGCAATAACATGTTGACAGTTGACATCACTACACCAGAATCTCACCGAAGTCATCCACCTCCTTTTCGACCAACTCCGTCCTTTCCACCAAGCGTCTGCGCCCCCCGCCGCTCGCCACGCCCAGCGCCGCCGCCGTCGCCCGCACGGCGCCGGCGGCGCCGGCGGCGCGCACCGCGGCCGTGACGTCGCAGCGCTGCGCCGCGTCGCTCGGGGAGCCGAACCTCCGGTGAAACCGCGTGGCCGGGTAGGTGAGACCAGGTTTTACCTAATCTTATCTAATCTAATAAGTGATCCTAAATGAAAAAGGTGTCTAGCTATAGTAGCAACATGGGACCTCAAAGTGAAACCAGGCCCCTTTCTGTGACTGGTTGGAGGAGAGGTGGAGTCTTGGGGCAAAGCAATGCAAGTTCATGCGAATTCCCATGTGAACTGCCCACCCTGCCCGGCACAAAACAACTAGACTATAATACAAAAGGATTCTGGTATAATCTGACTGAACCATGGTCATGAAGGAAGGGATGACAATCAAAACCAAGCCAACAAGAATATGTTGTTGGTGGAGCAGAACCTTTAGCCGAAAGATGCTGAGGGACATTTCTAAGATACAGCGGTTTGAGACTAGATGGCACAACCTCCAAGATATCCAAACTAGATGCGGATCCATCTAAACCACTCAAACTTGGGGGCCCAAGCGTGCCATTGAACCTCTGAAACCACGCTCCAAGGTTACTTATCTCGAGCCTTCGTCCTACGCTCCTGGAATCCGACCAGCCTAGCGCTCCAAGGAAACGCTTTGCAAAGACCGGAACGAACTACCCGGTAGGACGAAGAAATCAAGGGATCTTCATCAACAGATCCAACGATTCAACAAAAACGCTAAAATCAGAAACAAAAGCAACCTGAAATGCCTGACTGGTGCCACTGGCTTCCCGGTTTCATGCTTTAAAACCCGTTTCCTAAAGTATCTTCACACCTCACGAATTGATGGTTCACTGATGGTTCGTCTTGGAATCTGAAACAACAGTTCCCTCCAAACAGTTCAGTGAAGGAACCAGGGAGGCTTCACCAGAACCTATTTAGCTACCTCCTTCAGGTACCTCCACCTCCTTCAGGTGATAATAGCTTCCCTGCACTCCTTCAGTTCACTCCCCTAGGGCTCCAACTACCTGAGAAGATGGTTGGGGTGGGTGCCAGGAGGGTCTAACCACCTTCGGATATGGTTGGAGCTTCACTCCTTCAGTCTTCGCTCCTTCGTCTCCAAGTCGCCATGCTTCTGAAATCTCCAACGCTCCGATCGCATCGCCCGGTGCCTCGAGCCTGGTGTCGACGGAAGCGAGCAGAGCAGAGTGGTTCTCCAGAATCGGAGAATGGAGTATGCAAGGGCCGAACTCAAATGTAATAGGTACTATATAGGCACATATGGAGGGTACATATATATTATATAGGTACATAGGACTCCTCATAGGTACAGATAGGCACCAAGGTCTCCATCTCCGAACTGAGTCCACGTTGTTTTGGGTGAAAACTGTTTTAACTTCTGAGCCGCTGGGATTGGGAAAACACTATAAAAGCAGCATTTAAACATCACTATCCCTAGGGATCCAGTCGTGCCTCCTCAACAGGTACTTGGACCCTTCAAGCCCACCCCAGTCCCACCGAACCTCAGAGGGTACGACTGGATCCTTAGGGTATAAACCCTAAACCATCCGGATACCCTGACATGGAAGTGGAGGGAGTTCACCACTCAGCCAACTGGGAGTTACGGAACATGGTCTTCCAATGATTCCTTGTATTTCTTGGCATGAATATGGCCACGTGCCTTGGCATGAACATCCTGCACTCTCAAGATGATACGGATCTGAGATATTCTGAGGTGATCACTGCAGTATACCTAAAGCTCCAGCACCCCCCCTCACCATGCTGTGTGTCAGTCTTGGCGTTCTTCTCTTCGTGCCGGATTCGTTCTGCGCGGAGCCGAGGTTGTAAATCACCGACAACTTCGACGAGGGTCTACTTTGCTCACTATCCCCAAAACCATCCCTGATCAGCATATATGGCACACATGGAGTGTCTGCGATCAAGTTTCCGATTTACCTCCGACCTCTAAAAGGGTCAAGAAGAGGCCGTTGGCTCTATTGGACCCTCTGAGGGCAGGCCTCGTTTCTGCTTCCCTTGCTGCTTATACATAGGACCTCTGTATGGGCACACGAAGAAGTCCACAGGACCATCTGTGGTTTGCACTTGGGCGTTTGCCGCCACCCCAATGGCCTCAGTGTTTGGTACTCCCAGCACCAGCATTCCACGCGACAAATGCCCAGCTGGGCATGTGGAGCTGCATCCGACATCTTGCCATGGTGGACATGAGGTCCAACCCCAGGCGGTCGGTCGTCTGTGGCGGGTAGCTGATGTCTGCTGAGGCGGAGTGGGGGGTGAGGTCGTTCAGGGGGTGATGGCTTGGCCCCACAGTCTGACACGATCCAATTTGGATGGCGCTTCTGCTGGTGGTTTGTATGCTTTCCTTACCAACCGGAAGGTGTTCGGCGATGAAGATTTGCTTCAAAGAAGTTAAGAGGGAACACTTGATTTCATTGTTTCCAATGTGTTGCAAGCAGCTGCACTTTAAAGCACGGTCTGACTGAAGAGGTGTCCCCCACTTCGCTGGGGCAGGCTTAGCGGACACGTGCTGATGCTCAAATCGTATAATTTCAGACAACAAATGCCCAAAAAGCATCAAAAAAACAGTCTTTCTCTCAGGATGCTTCATGATTTTTTTGGGCCAGATGCCATTTCGGTGAAGCCAACACAAAAGACAATCATTCCACAGCATTGCACTCGTGACGCGCTTGCCACGGACGAACGCAGAGTTCGGGGCCGTTCGAACTTCGAACGGCTGCGAAACCGACAGCGGCTGCGGTCCTTTCGATCCAGTAGTCACTGTGGAGAGGCCACTATAGTCACTCACAAATATGGGAGTGAGTGCAGTATCGGTTGCAGGGTTGAATGAATCCCCTTCAAGAAAAACCACACCAAAGTATTATGGGTTGCCTCTGTCAGGTCTGTTCTTTGGCAGTGGCGAGTTGTCATGAGTTGTAACATGTCGATTCCACACATTCTGGCAAGCAGCTAGGCACGAGTTCGTGTAAAAGATCTTCAAACACGATGTCACCGAGCAATGAACAACCCTTCTTCTTGAGCATTGACATCCTTATATATCCTGGTTGAAACTTACATGGTGGACATAAGGATAATACCCCATGTTGTACCATAAAACGGTTTTGGTCTTGCAACATGCAAGGCGCATCTGTTCGTAAGGGAAATTTCAAAGATGATCCTTAACCACTCTTGAGTCCAACACATGGGGACCCACCAAAAGGCTTGTACAAAGCTCTATGACTAGACTACTCCATAGAGGCCTAGGTGGGAGTCAAATGTATCCAAGATCATCCAAGCGATTTCCATGGCCTGCAACTGCAACTGCCATCAAAATCAAGTTGATCTTGTTCCAACCTGCCTTTCTCCGACTCCGAGTCGCTTCCAATCTTCTGGGGCCTGAGACTTGTCCAGCGAAGTAGGTGGCGCGCATGTTTTGCGCAGTCAACATGGCCCTGTGTATGACGAGTTCATCTACAAAGTGGTTTTCCAGTCCATGATTCATGCTATTTAATGCTTATATTTCAGGGATTTTCACGGAGCATCTAGCGTACCAAGCAAAGCTCCGCAGCCGACAACAACATGTACTCCAGGATGCAAACACCCCTGAGCGATCTAAATCTCAGGATCTCGTTTTCAAGCGGTCTTGGAACACCCTTCCAGCATCTTCCGCCACGTTTCCCTGATTGGCTATTAGATGCTATTAGTGCCACACCCTGATAGGCTGACTGGTTTGAGCCCTTATGTCGGTCACCAGTGGAGCTTTTCGTTCGAGGCGTGTGGCTCTTCAATCTTCTCTGGTTCCTCATCATCGTCATCCTGGTGACGCGGCAGCCCTGCCGCGGCTCCCGACGTGGCTTTCAAACAAACATCCCTGAGCGTTGGTTTCAGTGGTGGTGCGCCGCCCCCAGTGACGAAAACCAAGCCATCCGCTTTGTCTGTCTTGCATGGAAGCTTCTCTTTCAAGGTTCTGACTCTATTAATATGATATTATAACAATTGTTAATATAAATATCTCAGTCTTCAAGTCCTATTCCAGCCAAAATCATCACTGCCAGCACAATATCATAATCAAATGTTGGGCCTATCCTATCCTATTAGCAGTAACAATGGATGATGGTTTCCAAAGGCCTTGTTCAAACATTTAGTGATGTGCTTGTTTACTGACTGTTGCAGGTAAGAACGGACAAACCCAAATTAAACGTATAACCACAGATTGCCCCATCTGTTCCTCCCTCCGACGATCTGTTTGCATTCGAGCGACTGGACTCCAGATTTGCCTACTGACATGAACCACAACAAAGAGCCCACTCCAACAACAGGCCTGTGCTTTTCATGTTTTTTGTGTTTTACTTTGCGAAAACTGGCAGGTTCATAGCTTGAACTGCTAGGTTGGTTGGTTGAACCACAGGGTCACAAGTTTTTGTATAGTTCTTGGTGACACTGATGCCAACCCAACCTGCCATTTCTCACAAGCAACCCCCCAACAAAAAAGCAAAACGCTCCTCCACTATATCTTCAGCCTTCTCCTCTGGCATCTCCTCATCTTTCTTCTCCTCTTCCTTCTCTTCTGCTTCTTTCTCCTCCACCTCGATGGGCAACAAACCCAAGACGAACACATCGCTTGACATCGGCTGTGCCATCGAGGTTAGGACACCCCGCCCTGCATCTGCGTTCGCAGTTCGTTACCCACCCAGAAAAGCTCCCAGACTTGCAAATACGCAGCCAGTGAACTTAGAAAAAATGAACAAACAAACACAGCACCAAACGATCAAACACTCAGAAAACCGTGTGATCTCACCCCAGAGTTTGCTACTACAGTAGTTTGTGGACGATACGAAGAATGTCACCACAGGGCGAATTCACAAAATTCCAATGTACCAGGGCCCCCTCAAGGGGTGGTTAATGGACATCGACACCCCTGGCCCGGGGGTATGACCGGAATGCCATATATCCCCCTTTTCTGGTCAAGAATCCTCCTCTTCTTCGTCGTCTTTGGCCTCTTCCGGCTCTTCCTCCTTTTCCTTCTCGTCCTCCGCAAAAACCAGGAGTTTTGTACGGAGGATCGTCTCCCAAAGGATCCAAAAACCAGGATTTGGCAGGCGCTCCTCGGACTCCGGACTCGGACTCTTCGCCTGGGGCCACGGGGCGAGCGTGCCGTGAACTGCGTCTGGGACCTTTGGCTCGGCTCGGCCGGTCCCGGCGGAAGGGGAACAAGGTGAAAGCCCGGCGTTGCCCCAAAACTGATGTGTTTTTGATATATCCCAGACACGACCTGTCCGTGACTGCCGGACTGCCTTCAAAACGGCCTTTCCCGGGGTGGTGTGGTCAATATGGGTCTTTTTGGGGCGGCAGTCCTATGGCAGCCTCATGGAGTGTCTGGGTATGATGTGTGATATCTTTTTGTGCTCTCTGAAGCACCCCTGCTCTCTTTAAAATGGCACGTGATATTTTTAGACGAACCGTTTTTTCTTAAAGCTGGTGCAAGCGCTTTGTATTGGAAGCTGCAAGCTAGAACCTGCTGCAAATCTACATTTAAATCGCGCAACAAACAGGAGAACATCGCCATGGCAGAACATTGGAGAGTCTGAGTCCTGTTGAGACCATGCATGTGCCAAACTTCTACAAATGCCGCCCTCACCTCTGCCACTGGTTCCGGCACAGGCACAGGCCTCAGCCGGCTCGAGCCGGTCTGTAGTGTTTGAAGAGCACTCGGTATGAAAACACATGCATACCAAGACCCTCCTGGCGCTGTTTGGAGAACCTGACAGGTTTCTGGGCATCGGTTATCTGAAGTAACCACCTCCAGGATCGAAGAAGAAACTGTCTAAACATCTTCCAAAACACCTTGCAGTATATACTCTCACGCTTGCACTACCGGAAGGGTGCGCAACTCATGGCCACCGACTCGTCTTTCAAACATCGTCGTGCTTGCCCTGGCAACATCACCTCTGAAATGCCCCGGCACCCTAAAGGTGCAGGTCCCTTGCTTGGATACAAATAGTGTCATATCAACTTGCAAGAATCGCTGAGGAATGTGGAGTCAGCGTTGCTAAGGGCAACATCGGCTTAATGGCTTACAGCGGTCTCAGAGTAGATGGGCACAAGGGCCCCCAAGATTGTTGGTTTGTGGAGACCCCTATCAACAAATATGTATTGAAGGGTTTGTGCATTTTTGTGCCATTTATTCATGATATATATGGTGGTTGATCAATATTCTTTCATCCTGGAATGGCCATTCATCGCGGAAAAAAAGATATCTTTCGCGGATCTTTCGCGGCCTCATCGCGAAGCATGGTCCTACAACCATGTCTAGCCAACATGAGCCGGAACATGTCATAGTATCACAAAATAGGTAGAGACATCTTGCAGCATGACCCCAGTAGATGGTTGAACGTTTCCACAGCTACTCAGGGTCACTTGCAGCATCTGTTCGACAATTGTGCCAAATAGAGTCAGGCACAACTCAACCCAATCCTCGCGCCAGCTACCAACACAGGGTGATACAGCTTGGGGAATGTTGGGGGGCCTCAAGCTGGGAACCTAGACTTTAGCGGCACATTCGCGAAACTTTCGCGGATCTTTCGCGAAATTTCACTGGCGCTTTCCCCGGGAAGCCGTAACATTTGCAAACATCTGCGCAGCCCGTCAGAGCAGCTGCAGGTCGTTGCCTCACTGTCAGGGCTGTGCCTACCCAGATTGCTAGCCTGTGACAGTGGGGACAGGAATCGGAGAATCCTTTACGCACTGCCAGGGCTCGGCACGGAAATGTTGAGGCTTCAGTTCGTTAGTCTGTGACATATGGGGACACTTCCGCCCACTGGCTCTGCCGGAGGATTGCCTTGCGTTTCTATTCTTTGTCAGTCCGGTAGAAAGGAAAACAATGAAAGCGGTGACCTTCGATAAATCTTTCGCGGAAAAAAAAGATACTTTCGCGAACCTCATCGCGAATCTTTCGCGGATGGTTCTAACAACATCTGAAAGGCTGTTTTATATAAAACTCCTTACACGGGGTTTTCGATCAACTCCCATATGTAGGCCCTAGACGCTTGGATTGCAGGCCTCAGGGGCAGGGAGAGGGATGTCCTTCACTGGGCCACAAATCAGCGCCTCTGTGGCGACCTCTGTGGGTGCTCAGACGCTCAGCGCCAAGGGAGACCGAACGTAGCAGGCGTCGGCGTTCCGACACCCTCGGAAGGTCGCGGAACATCGAGCAGTCTATCCATTGGTTGGGAGGTCCCCCCCCCATTCAAACACACGTCGTATCGTCGTTTCAGCAGCACTGCGGAGGGGCGGAGATCCAACCATTTCACTCATACCTGGAGCTCTGTTCGTAGCCTGCGACGTTGGGGCGTTTTGGACCCGAATCCGAAACGCCAAGTCTGCTGCACCAACCCCCAAACATCTAAGAACTTACACATCTTACACTCCGAGTCACTAGCATGGTAGAGGAGAACGACTAGGCCGGAGAACGCTCTTTCCAGGGGCCATCCATGATTTCAGGGAGTTCATAGAAAAATGGAAAGAAATGGAAGGAACTTGAGCGATGGCCCTGGAGACCTAACTTGCAGAATTGTCATTTTGTACGGAGAATAGTCTCCCAAAGGACATATCCAAAATAGTATCGCTCCCTGGATTCAAGTCATTTTGGAAAAGCGATATCCAAAATAACTTGAATCTCAGAGTCTTACCCTCTCTCTCTCTCTCTCTGGCAGGCATGACTTGTCCCTGAGCCATCCCACAAATTACTATACCGGAATTTGTTGTTCGATCGAAGAAAGGTCTCCAAGTCATAGACCCATTCCGGGTGCACAGGAAGCCGCTGTTCGATCCGTGGTCGGAGTCCTGACTCATTTTTCCCCACACCCCCGAGGCTTCGAACACCTCTGGTTCAGCCTGGCGAGCTGGTTCCACCGATCAAAGGAATAAGGAATCGGTGCAAGTGGAGTTGGAGTGCTACTAGAGGTTGTTCACCATTTGTTCGCCAGATTTTGCTGCATCTCTTCTGCTGGTTGAAAGTGGCCCTGTTTGCATGGATGGAAGGAATATATAGTATACGTCCAGTATAGTCAACAGTGACCACGGGGATGCCACCACGCTGCACATTGGGCGAACTGGTTTGTAATGCTCTATCTGTGGAAGCAACACGGCTTGTACCCACAATCAACTGCGGAGAAATCAATTTGAAATTGACTCGAATTGTTGGGCCCACCTTGAAAAGGTATGGAACAGGCTGAATATGTATATTTCCGTGGCTGCCAAGCCAAACATCTTCCTAGCATCCACTCTCAACCCTCCTGGAAAGCAAAGGAAACCCCACACAGACCGATCGGAAAGCGCCTAGCGTCCCAGACTCACGTGTTTGTTCTGAAGTCTCCCATAGCGGCGGTTTTTTGACCGATGCGCCCCCATCACTGGCCCGACAAGGGACGCTGCATGGATTTGTCGCAAGCTGCTCGGTGTGTGACACGACGCACACACCGAGCTTAGCTGCTCGGTGCACCAAGTTCTTCTTAGTCTCAGCTCCCAGAACCTCGCCTCTCTCGCCTGTTACTTGTCAGGCGAGTAGGGACCTCTGGCCAAACCCACTTCACCCGAGCACCTCGGAGTCAGAATCTTCCTTGGGCTTCTTGGGCTTCTCATCCTGCCGGGGTGTTCGGTGTTCCTCCCAGAAACAGGATGAAACAGGATCTCCAAAGGAAGTTCATCCACCTAAATGCCGGCAGGCACAAGTAATATCAATAATCTCCACACCTTGTGGAACAGTGTAATATTGGAGATAGTACTGGAGATGCTGCGCTGGCAGCTAATGATTAATGATATGTCACCACTCATCTTGTAGTTTCTCCTCAAAGCTTCCTGTTGCAGTTGGCATAGCCATCAAGACCAGTAGCATAATTTCAATAGTTTCAAACACATCAAGCAATGTGCCATCTCCCACAGGGAGACTACTATTGGGGAAGGCCTCTGAGTCTGAGTCTTCCTTTGCAGGCTTCTTCTTTGGCTTTTCATCCTGCCAAGGTCATGGGAGGAGCCACGGTTTGGCCAGCAGTCCGTGTGCTAAGACCTTGTATCCGCTTCCCAGGAAAACAAAGGAATCCTCGGAATCGGTCGCCACCGGCTTCTTCTCGGGCTTCTTCTTTGGCTTCTCCTCCTCACGAACAGTCTGGGGGTGAAAAACCATGCTTGTAAGCAGTCCGCCTGAGATGTTCCAAGCTCAGCGAAAATCAGAAGAGCGGCCCATCCGCTTCCCATGAAGCAAAAGAACTGTTGCCTCGGAATCGGAGACCGGCTTCTTCGAGACCGGCTTCTTCTTATGCTTCTCCTCCTCACGAACAGTCTGGGCGGGACTGCCTGGTTAGCTGGAACTCGTTCTAGTTCTTGCCGTTTCACTTGTAGCCCCCGCTGACATCCATTTTGGGACCAAGTGGGCAAACAGCCATCTACTCTTGTGGCACTAGGTGCGCAAACTTCTAAAACTATAGTCTGTTATTGTACTCGCGTAGCTCCTCCTTCTTCTTCTCTTCCTTCTTGCTTACCTTCTTATCCTTCTCCTGGCATCAACACATGTGGGCCTGTGGGCAGTGGTCCTGGAACGTGGAGGTCTCAAATCGGTCACCTCTCCACCGATGGACCTCGTCCCAAGCTGGACGCTCATCCGTCCTCCCGCCCCCCGCGGACCGGAACACAACCAGAATCGCCGTGTAGACGCCCATGGGTCTGTGTTTGTCTTGGCGGCTGAAGGTCAGAAACCATCAATGAGTTCTGAGAGGTGCCAAGAGTTCTGAGAGCTTCAGCAAGCTTTTTACCAGAAACAAAGGCCCAAAAGGTGAGTCCGTGTGGCTGCCGGAGGTCTTTTCTGTGCAGGGCCTTCTGAGATGCTCACCCGCGCGGTCTGGCGCATGATACAGGCGCTATATCAAGGTCTCTGCGGAGAATGGCCAGCACACCCCCTGTCATGTTCAGTACCACTTTACATTGGCATGAGAATCTAAAAGCTAATTATTAAGATTCATGCACGTGTTTGATGCACAACCGGCATATTCTGTTGACAAATGATATGAATCAGAGATTCAGGGCGGCTTAAAAAGAAAACTTATGAATTAACTCATGAACAAAAAATAAAATTAACAACATATATTGGAAATGGCTCACCTGTTCCAAATCAAATCGTTTCCCGAGCTCCATCTCACCAGTGGTGCCTATATGGATATAGTCTTATACATACCTGGAGCCCATTTGACCTCTGTGCTGATAGGAAAAGACTTGGTTGGTGGTCAAAAATGGAGGTCACCCAGGCTAGGCATATATTTTTATATATATATAATGTATTATTTGCATTAGGATTTGGCAGTGTGGGCCCCAATAGCCTTAGTCCTTAAGAAAGGACCGCCCCTAAGAATCTACCACCAACTTGGACAGATCTGGATGCTACCAAAGTGCATGTGTTAAAACAATTTATACAAGATGGTTTATTATTCTGTGACGTTCTTTGTTCGGCTTGCGATCTTCTAAGCAGAGTGGCGAAACACATGAGATTATAGCTTATGGCTAAAGTTCTTGTCTTCCATCCTGCAGTCTTCGACTGCAGCCGTTTCGGAGGAGGCTGGCTGAAAGCAATGGCCGCTGGGCGTGGAGATGCCCTCGCCGCGGCGATGAAAACCGACGCGATGAGTTCGCAGTCAGAAAATTGACGATGGAGTTGCGAAGGTTTTTCGTGCCAGCTAAAGCTTAAGGCAAATTTCTGTGACGAAACGACTCACAATGAGGTGCCTTGAGGTTTCAGCGATGGACCAAGCGGATAGAACTGGACATCATAAGAGTAAGTAGACCTGAATGTGTGGGTTCTTCTACGTGATCTGAAGTATTCTGAAGTTTAGGAACTCTCCCACTCATGGAGCTCTTGTAAGAGAGACCATGTGCAACGGGGGTTCCTTGCAAAGGTCCAAAGTCCTCCAAGCTGTTGCTGATGGGATGGAGACTCGAGTCGAGCAAATAGCGGGAGATACCAACGAAACGTTCTACTTCTCCAACTCGGCATAGTCATTGTCCATTCTCCCAGGCTCCCTACATGATTCAGGCTGAAATACCATGCATCTAGTCTAGCATGGTGGGCCATTTCTGACTCTGAAACAGTCTGATTCTACCAAAAGGGGGCTACATCACACATCCGTCTAACACTTTTGTCCGCAAACGAGAGGCGATCTCATAGCATGTGCATCTTGCAGGCGATCTCATAGCTCCTTTCAATCCGCACCTTTCAGATCAAACCCTTGCAACCCGTTCCCCACCATTGATTCGTGGCTCACCATTGACTTAATAGCCTGAATCCCGAACAACCGTTCTTTTACTGAGGATATTACACTACAAGACTCAAGACCAGGTCGACCTGCAATGTCTTAAAAACATGGTCTTTGAACGTACTTGAAGGGCCGTAGGCCTATAGATGGCTAAAGGGATTCTTGGTCTAATCGCATCAAAAAAAGAAACAAGATGGAGCCCACGAACCCGAATGCAAACACGTTCAAAAAGCTACATATGTCCAAATGACACTCTTGTAGGACACTCTTGTGGGACACTCTTGTGGGTCACTCTTGTAGGAAACTCTTGTGGGACACTCTTACGGGACACTCTTGTGGGACACTCTTGTGGGACACTCTTGTAGGACACTCTTGTGGGACACTCTTGTGGGGCACTCTTGTGGGACACTCTTCTGGGACACTCCTGTGGGACACACTAGTGTCCCACACTGTTGCGGGACACTCTTGTGGGACACTCCTGTGGGACACTCATTTGGGATACTCTTGTGGGACACTCTTGTAGGAAACTCTTGTGGGACACTCTTGTGGGACACTCTTGTGGGACACTCTTGTGGGACACTCTAGTAGGAAACTCTTGTGGGACACTCTTGTAGGACACTCTTGTGGGACACTCTTGTAGGGCACTCTTGTGGGACACTCTTGTGGGACACTCTTGTAGGAAACTCTTGTGGGACACTCTTGTGGGACACTCCTGTAGGACACTCTTGTCCGATACTCTTGTGGGACACTCTTGTGGGACACACTCTTGTGGGACACTGTTGCGGGACACTCTTGTGGGACACTCTTAAGGGACACTCTTGTGAGACACTCTTGCGGGACACTGTTGCGGGACACTCTTGTGGGACACTCCTGTGGGAAACTCATTTGGGACACTCTTGCGGGACACTCTTGTGGGACATTCTTGTGGGACACTCTTAAGGGACACTCTTGTGACGAGACACTCTTGCGGGACACTGTTACGGGACACTCTTGTGGGACACTCATACGGGACACTCTTGTGAGACACTCTTGCGGGACACTCTTGTGGGACACTCTTGTAGGACACTCTTGTGGGACACTCTTGTGGGACTCTCTTATAGGACACTCTTGTAGGAAACCCTTGTGGGATACTCTTGTAGGACACTCTTGTGGGACACTCTTGTAGGACACTCTTGTGGGACACTCTTGTAGGGCACTCTTGTGGGACACTCTTGTGGGACACTCTTAAGGGACACTCTTGTGAGACACTCTTGTTGCACACTCTTGTAGGACACTCTTGTGGGTCACTCTTTTGGGACACTCTTGTCGGACACTCTTGTGGGACACGCTTGTGGGACAC